CACAACGCCCAGCTGATATTTCTATTTTTAGTAGAAGACAGGGTCTTACTCGTGCTCAGGCTGGTCTCAAACTTCTGAGCTTGAGTGATCCTCCCTCCTGAGTCGGCCTCCCAGAGTGCTAGGATTACAGTGTGAGCCACAGCAGCCTGGCCATTAATACAACTTCTTAGGAAATATTTACAGCTCAAAGGAGTCTACTATCTCCATTGCTATATAGTGGAAATTGAATGGGAGGTGTGTTTGAACTCGATTGTGTGCTTTGTCCTTTAACTATTCTTAGATGGAATCACCATAATAAAAATAATTTTTTTAAAATGTGCTATTCTACTTCAGAAAGTTTACTGCCCTGTCCATTTTTCTTACTTTAGCAGCAACTATTACCTTATAAGAATCGTGTCACAGCAGCTGAAGGAAAAGAAAGTGATAACAGTGTTCAGTGTTAATTTTTCCTTATGAATAGTTACAGTTTTAGCATTCTTCACTATTGTCAAATTTTAACCATTTAAAATTTGTTTTTTTTTTCCAGGGTAATGCAAACCTAGATATCCAGAACGTGAACCAACAAACTGCCCTACACCTTGCTGTTGAACGACAACACACCCAAATTGTTAGGGTAAAGTATTTATTAACATAAATTTTAGCTTACAGTTATTTTAACCAGACAGTTTTTTAGAATCTCTTGCAGACTGAAATGATACAGTGTTAGATTTCTCAAAAGCCATAGTTAAATGTACAACTTACGATTTTAGGCTAATATTTTGCATGAGTTAGGTAAAGAGTTTTAATATCTAATAGCAAAAATCTTTAAATTCTGATATTCAGAGTCTTTATAATTTTGTTGCTAGATTTGTGAATTCTCAATATTAAATGAGAAAATTTCAAAGTAGCATGAATTTGTCTTAAAAAGTATATTCCTTCTTAATTTATATAATTGAGAGTAAACTACAAATTGAAAGCTTTGACTGCACATTTGCTGCTGCAAATTCCAAAAAACCTGAAATATATTTTTTTAGTTTACTAATCTGGTTACTCAAACAAAAATATGCATATTTTGCATATTTTGCATATTGAGCAGTGATTCTTAAAGTTTGGAGGCTGAACCAATGGCACCTGGGAACTTGGTAAAAAATTCATTCTTGGACCCCACCTCAGACCAACCAAATCAGAACCTGTTGGGGTGGGAACCAGCAATCCCTGGTTTAACAAGCCCTCCAGGTAATTCTGATGGATGTCTAAATTTGAGAAATACTAGCCTAGAGTGACATTTTATGTAACCTTTTTGGGACAGAGCGGGGAAAAATGCAATTTGCCAAGACAGAGAAAAGATTGAGATTGGTTTCTATAGATGGTTATAAAGAGCTTTTCTAAAGTTCTTTGCTGGTATTTGTAGGAAGGATTAGGAAAATTGTTAAAGCACCACAACCAAAGTCTTAAACTTATTTTTACTGCTTAAGTAATCTATTGAAATATGTCTATTATGCATTTTATCTAAGAAGTTGTAGATTGGCAAACACTGTTCACATTTATTGTTATTTGAAATTCCTCTTGCTCAAAATTCTTCATTTATCCTCCATCATTTTCCTCTTAACCATACATTTGGAGAAAATTGACCAAAAGAGAACATAATCAATAACTTTGCTTGTTTGTTTAAATAATAGAAGAATTTAGAGCATTATGATTTGGTCCTGGTGGAAGTGCTTAAAATATCTCAAGTCAAGTTTCTAAAATTAAAAGGAGAAAAGAAGTCTAAATTTGCCCCAGTTCCCATCATCTTAGAGTAGGTGAATTAAGCAACATACTGATTCTGATTTCTGTTTTCTTTGTAAGGAGCCACAGGGGTGGAGAATATTAGAAAGCAAAGACATAAAAATCATTAGCTTTAATGGTATCTCCTGTAGGGCCAGGGTGCTCTCACTGTTGCTTTACATATGTTTAGTTACTTATGGATGTGGATACTTTGCCAAAATGAAATGTTTTTCTCTTTTAGCTTCTCGTCCGTGCAGGTGCCAAATTAGATATTCAGGATAAGGATGGGGATACTCCTTTGCATGAAGCTCTGAGGCATCACACTTTGTCTCAGCTGCGTCAGCTGCAAGATATGCAAGATGTAGGGAAGGTGGATGCTGCTTGGGAGCCATCCAAAAACACAGTGAGTAAAGATAATCTTTCATTGAGTACTAGTGGAAGCATTTTTTAATGCAAGATCTTATATGTGCTGCTAATCTAATCTGTATCAGGTAAAATATTTTATCAGAGCTACATACTTAGAAATTTAGTTTATGAACTAAATACTAAGTCAATACTAACTATATTGCTCAACATTTTAAAATTTTCAGTTCTTTTTAAATTCAGCCATTCAAATAGGTAGTGGTATCTTGTGGTTTCAATTTGCATATCCCTAATGATTACCGATACTGTCTTTTTATTTTCTTGTCACCACATATATTCAATGAAGTGTCTGCTCAAATCTTTTGTTCATTATTTTGCTGAGTGTTTTGTTTTCTTACTATTGGGATTTGAGAGTTTATATAATCTGAATATAAATTCTTTATCAGATATGTGATATGTACATATTTTCTCTCTGTGGCTTGTCTTCATTCTTTTAACAGTGTTTTTGGAAGAAAAATTTTATTAATTTTTTCTTTCATCATTTGTGTTTTTTGTGTTCTATCTGAGAAATCTTTGCGAAACTCAAGGTCACTAAGGTTTTCTCTGTTATGTTTTGTACTAGAAGTTTGTAAAATTTTAGCTGTTACATTTAGGTCTATGATTCATTTCGAGTTAATTTTTATATATAGTATGATATATGGATCCAAGTTCATTCTCTTACTTGTGAATATCCAGTTGTTCTGGCACCAATTGTTGAAAAGACTGTCTTTTTCTACTGAATTGCCTGTGTACCTTTATCCAAAATCAGTTAACCATATATGTGAAAGTCTCTTTCTGGATCCTGTATTCTGTTCTATTAGTCTTTGTTTTTAGCGATGTGATACTAGCCCCACTTTCTTAATTACTGTAGTTGTATAATAATTGTTAAAGTCAGGTAGTGTAAGTCCTCCAGTTATCTTATTGTTTTTTTCAAAGTTGTTTGATTATTTTATTCTAAGCCCTTCACATTTCCTTATGTCTCATTTTAAAATGGGGGGAGGGGAGTATCTACCTTCATGAGGTTATTGTAAAGATCGTGGAAAGTGCTTAAAGTAATACTTGGTTCTATGAGACGGGGGAATTGCATTAAAAAAGAAGAAAAAATAATGCCTGGTCCATTTTAGGAAATAAATGTGAACAATTATTGTGACTATTTTTGGATACAATGTTGGAATCAGTACCTCAGGTGTTATTATCAGAACCTGATTTGTCTCATTCCCCATTTCTTAGCTCAATTCTTAGGTATTGGTTGTATTCTCAGTTGTCTCTCCTGTCATTATTTCACGTTAATTGCTAGCAGCTCCAGAGCCAAATTGATTAGAAAAGACTGCTGTTTCTTTAATCTCTCAATCTGAAGTCCTGCTCTTGAGTTTTATTGGCCTAAATTGACTTGACTTGGGTTATATGTCCCTCCCTGAACTAGTCATGTAGGTGAAATAGATATCTGGTTGGTTTGGGCCATCTTTGGTCCACTTCTACAACTGGAAAATGGGTCACTCCTCAATATATATCAGAGAAAATTGAGAGCGGGGAGAAGGGGGAGGGGATATTAGGACTGAAACTCATAAATATTCACTACACACTCACACACACACACACACACACACACACACACACACACGGTGGAAAGAATTGATAGCAGATTCCTAAAGGGAAAATTGACTCTTTTCATTTGATTTCAGTTAATAATGGGACTTGGTACCCAGGGGGCAGAAAAGAAGAGTGCAGCATCAATTGCCTGTTTCTTGGCAGCCAATGGCGCTGACCTTAGCATTCGAAATAAGAAGGGTCAATCGCCACTTGATCTCTGTCCTGATCCAAGTCTCTGCAAAGCACTGGCAAAGTGTCATAAGGAAAAAGTCAGGTTTGTATTATTTATTATCATAAAACTTAATATTCTATACAGAAAGCATCATGTAGTTTCATAATGGAGGACTTGACTACTTGAAAATGTCTTTGTCTTTGCTCTTTCTGTATCTTTGTGTTGACCCTTCCTTGAAAGTTTTCCTGTAGGCAGCATATCTCTTATTTTGTGTTGTGTTCCTCACATTATTAAGTGCAGTACTTTATGCTTAATAAGTTCCGATTGGCAAACACTGTTCACATTTATTGTTATTTGAAATTCCTCTTGCTAACATATATTTGACAAAGTACTGGTATCCCGGATATATATAAAGAACTTTTACAACTTAATAATAAAAGGACAAATAACCTTATAAAAATAGGCAAAAAATTTAAATATCCACTTTACCAAAGGAGTTATATAGTTAACAAATAAGCAAATGGTCATTAG